CGTAACGTCTCCGTTCCCTCCTTCAGGGAACGAGGGTTACACAAGTAACCTAGACGTTTTTCACAACAAAACCTGCCCAATTGCTACTCAAAACTAGTCCAAACTAACAGCATTTCGAGGGGGTTGCCCCTGTAAAAATCGTGTTCCTGGGTCTAAAATACACATTATTGGGGTCGCTTCAACCCGTGGCAACAGTGATAAAGTAGCCCAATTCCATGGGAAAACCGCAGACTTTGCAACACTGTGACAGATAGTAATGTCTACAACGGATACAGGAACTGTCGGTGGAACAGCTAGCAGTTATTCAGCTGAGGGAGCAATACACCCAGTTCTCAATCCGAGAAGGGGGCTCGACCTGCAGCATGTTCCAAAGCTGGAACAGCTAGCAATAACTTACTTAGCTGTGGGAACATCACACCTAGTTCTCAATCCGAGAAGGGGGCTTGACCTACAGCATGTTCCAATGCTGGAACGGCTAGCAGTAGTTTACCTAGGCTGAGGAAGCACAAACCCAGGGGGCTCGACCTGCAGCATGATTGTAAAATCAGAAGGGTAAGCATACTGCAAGCTAGCCAAACACTCAGCGCATCAGGGAGGCAGAGGAAGGGCCTAATCCACCTGATGCTGCTGGTTCCAGGTGCTCTGGAAAAACAGAGAACTCCACTTCTCATGTGAGAGGAGAACTCCGAATTCAGAGGATAACGTTGCTCATTCCAGGTAACCCTTTGATAAAAGGGGATCACTGCTCAAACTACCACGAGGACAGCCAATGGAGTGAGGCATCCAACTCCTCAGAGAGGATTAACGCTCGAAAGAAAGCACCATACTCACAATAACCCTCACTGGTGAGGGAAGCGATGCTTCCAGAGTGTGTCAACAGAGACACACTAGTTGAGTCGAGCCCAAGGAACCGGGGTCTAACCAACTCAGAAAAAGGGAACGAGGTCAATAACGCGTAACCCTTACCATACAGGATTTTAGAAAAGTGGGCAAAGCATAATGTGCACACTTACCACTTATGTGGATTTTAGAAAAGTGGGCAAAGCATAACATGCACACTTACCAACTATGTGGATTTTAGAAAGTGCGCAAAGCATAACGTGCCCACTTACCACTTATGTGGATTCGAGAAAAGTGCGCAAAGCTTAACGTGCTGCACTTATTTAGAGATTTCCAAGCATCTGTTACAGATACCCGGAAGTGCTGGGCCAAACGGGAGAGGCAAGCTCAAATACAACCCTCAAAGTAGAGGGGAGCACTGCCCGAGACAGCATTTACACAGGAAGGTTCTCGTAATGCCACCTATGCCTCCCGCTTGATGCCTCAGCAAGAGGGGATATCCTGATGATCGGGGAAACCTCTCAGGGCGACCCAGATATGGTAGACCAGTCAGGGTAGCATGAAAGCGTAATCCCAGCCCGGACGTCCAGGATATTTTTGCAGTGATGCGCTGGGGGCCTGATGAACACGAAGGCTCCCGCAGGACCATCAGTAAGGTGGTTACTATGAAGCCATAGAACCAACCAAAACATCATAGGTTCAGTAGGAGACTGTTATGCAGGAAGCTTCCACCTAACCTCAGTCAGGTGGAGAGATGGTGGTTACAGGGGAATTAGGAAGGGGAAGAAAAGGGTAGATGATACACCCCCTGAGGGAAAGAGTGGATACCTAAGTATTACTCTGATCCGGACGAAAGCGCTGACGCCTTGTCTGGATCCCATCCCTCAGGTCTTGCCTACCTCCCTTTGACCCACGATACTTCCTACCCCTACCCGCAGGTGGAGGAGGAGCTGGAGTCGCGACACTAGCCTTCTGTGCTCGTCTCTGATCCTCAAACCGAGACGGGCCAGGACACCTGGGTTGTTCAGGCTCAGACCTGGACCTTCGTGGAATGAAGGTTTTGAAGGCCGCTGAGCGCACCTTCGTCTCCCTGAACTTTTCGACCACCGTCTCAACGGATGCACCAAAAAGTTCAGAGGGCTAAACCGGGGCATCGAGAAGAAAGCCCCTTTCTTTCTTCCCGATGTCTGCCAGGTTTACCCACAGCTGCCTCTCCGTTACTACCATCGCCGCCATAGATCTGCCCATGGCAGAGGCAGCCTGCTTAGTAGCACGGAGAGCAAGATCCGTGGTGCGGCGCAACTCAGCCATCTCATCAGAAGAAAGGCCCTCGCCTTTATCCAGGTCTTTCAGCAGGTCAGCCTGGTATGCCTGGAGCACCGCCATCGTGTGCAGCGAAGCAACAGCCTGACCTGCTGCTGCGTATGTCCTGCCATACGCAGCAGCAGGACATACTTTTTTTTGAGAGACGATGTTTCACCCATAGAGAGATAGCTAGCTAGCGTCTCTTCTACAGGGGGCATTTTCTCATAGCCGTTTTCACGCATCACCTCGATGTTCGCATAACAGGTATGCTGAAACCGATGGATGCATGAGGAAAACGGCCTCTTCCATTCCTTCTCGATCTCAGTATGGAGATCAGAAAGGAAAGGAAGGCTCACCTGAGCTGGAGGGTTATGGCCAGAACGATAACGTTCCTCGAGACGACCTCACGACGTCACTTCCTTAGTTTGCTTCCACGGCAAGTCAAGCCTCGCCGTGGCGTGATCCATAACCTTTCAAATCTCATCATACGCAGGGCAGGAGGATTGAGAAGGCTCAGCCTCAGCTTCTTCGCTCTCTTCATCCATTTCCTGCTCTTCCTGGGCTGAACCCAGCAGAGCACTGGCCCCTGGATCAGATGATGTTAAAGAGAGAACATCATCTTCCAGCGGCTGTCTCTCGCCCGCTGCCGATGAGCGCGAGAGGGAAAGCCCCTCTTTAAACTCATCGGCCAGGTCCACCTGAGATCCCCACAAGCTCATTCTCTTCCGTGCCTCAGCAGCGGCAGGTCCAGAACCGCGGAGAGCAGATGGTTGCCCCTCTTTACTCGAAAAGAGAGACAAACGAGAACGGAGCTTTTTCATTGGAAAAAACTCACAATGCGTGCAGATTGCCCCCTCGAGGACATCGCGTGCGTGCTCTTCACCCAAACAAACAACACATAGATTGTGTTTGTCATCTGGTGTCAAAAAGCGATGACACGGATGCACACACCTTCTAAATGCTCTGCTAGTGCTCGCCATAATGAAAGAGATAGCTCTTACTTTTTCCTTGGAATGCACGCTTCAAACAGAACAGTCAATGAAGACGAAGAAGAGAATGATGTGTAGCTCCCGGCGCCTATTTATACTATAGTCGCACCGGTAGTGACGTCATGGCTGTCGCCGGCCAACGAGTTGGTGTTTTTTCAATGTATGCTTCAGACACGGGTCACGACGAGGCGTTCCCCATAGCGACCCCTAGAGAGAACCCTATTTCAGAAGTTTAAACTGATATGGCTTTAAAGCGCATGCAAATAAGTTTTCAGCATGATAGACATGATAATCAAAACCAAACAGATGTTTTGTTTTGGCAGTGTATCTGAGGTACCTGCTGTAAATTCACAGCCCCATAGACCAATTTCAGTGTTTGCAAACAGTGATGACATTTTTTGTGGGCGGAGCCTATCTGGTGGCAAAAAAATGCCAGTTTTAACATACCAGTCTATGCAAGCCATGAAATAAAATACTAAAAAAGGTCATTTTGAATTTATCTTTAAAAATTCTGACTTTTTTCTTGCATTTCCGAGATTATATGTCACAATTCTGGTAAGAAAAATAAACTCGTCATTCTCTCTTTCCCTCGTCTCAGAATCATGAGTTTATAATCCCACACTTCTGGCTTTTTTTTCCTCAGAATTGACAAACTCGCAATTGTAGAGTTGAATCAAGTTATAAAGTCAGAACTAGGAGATATAAACTTGCATTTGCAAGAAAAAAAGTCAGAATTGTGAAATAAAATTGGTAAATGTTATGTAAAATTTTATAGGTTTAAATAGTATTTCATGCTTCAACTGTAGGGCTAATCAGGGCTGTCCGTAGGGGGGTGCAGCTGGTGCGGTCGCACCAGGCCCCACAACGAACGGACCGAGGGGGACCCCACCCCTGGAATGCGATCGCGAACGGACCGAGGGGGGCCACGCACTCTACCTCGCACCGGGCCCTGCGTTAGCTAAAGGATGGCCCTGGGGCTAATACAATGTCCCTTATTAACTGCATATGTGAATATTATGTAGACCTATTGTTTAAATCAAATTCATGCTTTAAAATGAATCATAGCAGGTTTCATCCATAGTTTGTCTTCAATAGAGTTTAGCTTCAAATGGCGTCTTTGACGACAGTATTATATAAAAATAATTTGCATTCCGATTCTGACATCCAAAGGCACAACAATATATATTTTTTATCTTATTCCATGGATTTTTACCCGTTTCCCTCCATTTGTTACCAGTGTTACCAAAACAGACAGTAACAATCTATTTTAAAACAAACACACAAATTAAGACCCAGTTTAATGACCATGATCAGATGATGCTGAACAGAATTTTTCTGATTGTTTGATTATTTTATTTTTAATTATATTATTGTAAAATATTTATTTTACTTTATTTTATTTTTTTTATCCAAAATATCAGTTTCTCTAGAAGTGACAGAAATGTTTGGATCACACATTTAATGCTAGTAGTTGATGCACTCTCAGGAAAAATGGTACAACAGCTGTCACTGGTGTACCTTTTGGGTACTAATATGTACCTTAAAGGTACCAATATGGACTCTTTCAGTACAAAGACGTACCTTTTATAAAGGTACTGCCCCAGTGACAGCTTAAGCTCTTTTATTAAAGTTTGCCATCAAACGCTGACGATAAAAATGAGTTTGTAACTAATAACACTTGACAGCGATCAGAGGAAAATGTCTAATGTGTTTGATGATCAATAAGATGAGTGTCATAATTCATAATAATCTTTGTTCATTATATGAACATCAGAATAAAAGCAGCTGTTGATTGTGTCTCATCAGCTCCTGTGATCCTGGATCCAAACACTGCAAATCCACATCTCGTCATATCTGATGATCTGACCAGTGTAAAATGGACCGGGAACAAACAACTGCTTCCTGATAATCCAGAGAGATTTGACTGGTATCCCTGTGTCCTGGGTTCAGAGGGTTTTAACTCAGGAACACACTGTTGGGATGTGGAGGTTAAAGAGAGTCAGTACTGGAGACTTGGAGTAACTACAGCATCAAACCAAAGGAAGGGACAGGATTTCTTTAAAAGTGATGTCTGGTGTGTGTATTATAATCAGTACGGACTGCCTGGGTTTGGTTTTTCTCTTGAACAGGATCATGAATGTGTGAGAGTGAATCTGGACTATGACAGAGGAACAGTGTCGTTCTCTGATCCTGTAACTAACACACATCTACACACATTCACAACCACCTTCAATGACACTGTCTTGCCATTATTCTGGTGTTGGTCTGACTCACTGAGAATCTTACCATTCAGCAGTCAGTAAATGTTACAACTGTAGGCCTGGATCTTTCTGATTTCATCATGTTTCCAATATTTACTCCATATCATAAGAGTCCTGAATTAATATCAAGTCACTTAATTTCAGTCACAATATATCCAGATCATTGAAAACCTGAAAATATCTGGCAATTTTAAAATATGATATGCAGGACTGGAAAATGAGAATCTGAGATTAATAACATCATAAATGTTATGGAAAAAAAATGGATTTCATTTATATTTGATATATTTTTATTTTTACTAATCCACGCCCATGTCAGCAGTAATGTTTTTATTTTGTTATTTTGTTATTGCAGTGAAGTGTGTATTTATTATATGGCGGTGGCACTGCTCTGCTGGCGATCCGGACTCAGGTGTTGGCGTTACATTGATTGTGTTGGAATCTTTTTAAAACTTGTTTTAGATTTCTTTATTTTATTTATTTGTTTGCCGTTTTATTATCCGACTTGGAAGACGATCGAGTTACACAGTGACCTGCAGGGGCGGTTTCTTCATTAGGGCGATAGGGCGACGCACCACCAAAGTGCAAAAGCGAGGTATTTTTTTCAATCACATTCAACCACAGTGTTAAGCCCCAAGTATACTTCGTTTTTGTATGCGTACGCTAGTGTATGTGTGCAGTCGAACGCGTAGCCTTTCAAAGTATATTCTATTTGATGTTGTGTGCGAATGTGGGCGGTTGGCGCATGCGCTCTTGAAAGCTTCATCCATGTCTAGTGTCTGCCATATTTTTCCCTATAAGTTATGGCCAATGACAAATATTTTTGAACTCTTTTAATCCAAATCCTATCTCATACCCTCTTGCTCACAAGTGCTTGTCAATGCAGCCGTCTGTTGTTGTTGCAGTCTCCGCTATTTTGTTGTTGTTGTTCCATCTCTTTAGTTTTGTTTTCTACTGTAAAAAACAACGGCCCGGGACAGTGTTGCTACTTGTGGAACATCTAATTACTGCAAAAATAATTCAATGCGCATGTGCGACCTGCACGTACAAAGTTACGCACTGTATGCTGTCCCTCGCGTACGTGTAAAAAGTGAAGTATTGGGACTTTGGGCTTTACGCTAGCTGTTACTGTTCTAGACTGTTTGTTCTCCCTGCTGAAAAAAAACAGCTAAAACCAGCCTAAGCTGGTTGGCTTATTTTAGCTGGTCAGCAGGCTGGTTTTAGAGGGATTTTGGCCACTTCTTTCGCTGGTCAGGCTGGTCTTAGCTGGTCAGGCTTTCATCATTATTACCACTTTCGATGCTGAAGACACGCTGGTGCTCCATGCAAAAATAATTCAATGCGCATGTGCGACCTGCACGTACAAAGTTACGCACTGTATGCTGTCCCTCGCGTACGTGTAAAAAGTGAAGTATTGGGACTTTGGGCTTTACGCTAGCTGTTACTGTTCTAGACTGTTTGTTCTCCCTGCTGAAAAAAAACAGCTAAAACCAGCCTAAGCTGGTTGGCTTATTTTAGCTGGTCAGCAGGCTGGTTTTAGAGGGGTTTTGGCCACTTCTTTCGCTGGTCAGGCTTTCATCATTATTACCACTTTCAATGCTGAAGACACGCTGGTGCTCCAGCTTCTTCAAGGCCCTGAAAGTCAGCCCTGCCTTTGTGCCAGATGTTGTTGAGTGCTGTGCCTCTGTCTTCTGAATAGGGACATCCCCTCACCTACATCCATGTTGATCCAGAAGTTGTGGAGGATCATGACGATGACCAGCCTGAACCCCCAAAACACAGAAGCCAGCACAGGAGAGGATGTGTGGAACAATCTGGCCGCAGGTGTGTCCACACCAGATAACGGTGTGCTTTCTCTTCATGAGCACGATTACCTGTAGGACAATTGAACAGGTTAAGACTCTGCAAATCAGTTCATGTTCTTATATTGCTATTGCTTGAGCTTGTGTAAGTTAGTTAGTTAATATGTAACGTAGCTGTGTGTGGGGGCACAGCCCACGTGGTGTTGTGATGCATAAAGTGCATCAGCAGTAGTTAGAGGTGCACTGCATCTGTGTGCATCCCTCTTGCTTACAGCTCACTGCCACTGGCAGCCCTTATGATGAAAATGGAAGCAGCTTTTTCAGGGCTTCTGCAGGCTTTATGAAGGTACTTTGAAGACTTTTAAGTAGTGCTGTCAAATTGATGTATATACAGTATATACCTCCTCCCACTTTTTTCTCACTCAACTTTTTCCCCACCCAAATTTAAAGTCTTCATCTTGTATACATACAGGGGAAGAAAAATATTGTGATATTGTTTTGAAGTTATATTTATGTATTTTAAGTGTTTTGAAACCTGTCTGTGAAAGTTACCTAACTGAATGTTGAAGTTCATTTTCCTGACACTGTTATAAAAATGTTTTAAGAAATTTCCTTTTGGTGTTGTTTTAAGCTCTATTATACTACTTTATGGAAAAGTTAAGTGGTTTTGTCTGAAGCTTTTGCTCTTGTCCATGTACACATTTTAAAGGTGACTTGGTGTATGGGTATTTCTCTAAAGTGTGGCACCCATTCTCAAGATGTTAAGGTTTTGCTCGTTTAAAAAACAGCTGGAAATGCTACAAAATCAGTGTGCACACAAGTGCTTTAAAAACAGTTACTCAATGCCACATATGAAGCACTGTGCAACTGACACAATATAGCTATTGGAAATCCCTGAAAAATAATGTTGTCATAAAACTTGTTAAAAATGCATAAATCAATGGAGATCCTAACATAAATAAATGTAAAGAGAGTGTGTAGTTAAGATTAATATTCATTTACTTACTCAAGCCCTTTGATTGCAGCATTAAGGTTAGTTTCCAGTGAAGAAGGCTTCATTAGCCACTCTCCACTGGATGAGAACGGTTGTGTTCATCAGTCCCTGTACCATCAAATCAGGTGATCGAATGATTGGTGATCAATCTATCAATGCTACACTAACAAGCTGAGGCACTTATTAACAGTAGTTTGCTATGTAACAACAAATTTCTCTCAAAATATCAACAAAAGTAAAAACGTAAAAGAGAAATAAAATAGTTTTAATTCCCTTAAGTTTTGTAACTTTATCTCATTACACTACTTAACAAACCGTCTGTTTAACATGTTTATGTTGCTCCCCATCTCTTTTTGCTGCTGTATCAGAGCATGATTCAATCTATTCTTCTATATTGCTCCACCTGTTTCTTTGGCATGCTATCTGTTAAGAATAAGGACAAACTCGTACGTATAACTGCCACAGCTTCCAAAATAATTGGTCGTCCTACACCAAACCTGACAGAATTAAATAACAGGGCCATTACACGTATGGTGACTTCAATTGAGCAGGGCATTACACACCCATTAAATTGGCACCTCACCCCACTCCCTTCAGGACGTAGATACAGAGAACTAAGGTGCAGAAGGGCTCGCTTCAGGAAAAACCTGATTCCTGTTGTTATAGTGGCCCTGAACAAAAGGCCTCACTGAATAGACCAAGATGCGGACATTGATATAAAGCGGACTTTGTTCATGTAGTCTTGACATCTAGATGTGTAATACTTATGACATGATGTTGTGTCATGGTGACACTGTCTGTGGAATGGAATGATGCTGTGAAGAAGAATTTCCCTAAGGGGGACAATAAAGTCTAATAAAGAAAGCAGTGTTAACAAGCTGATGTGCTGCATTGATATTTACTCCATCTGATCGGTAATAAACATCTTTTTACAGCCAATTCACAAAATCCTCTCATCGGTTACATTGTTTAAACCTTCAACAAGTCAGTCGTTTACTTGGATGATGTTAAACAAGTGCAATTTAACCACAATGAATGTTTATCCCTGAGGTACTTACACTTGAAAAGAGCCGCGTCGCTGCTTTCTGTCATTTTCGAATATGATGACTAGGGATGGGTGTATCTATACAGAAGTATTGATATCGATACTGATGTGAGTATCGAAAGTATCGATACTCAAATAAAAATATTGATACTAAGGTGTTTTTTTACCTGTGATTTTGTTCATTTAACAAGATATTTAATGCAAACTATATTCACTGAATTGGACGAATAACTATTTTCCTGCTCATCTGAACACTCGGAAATGCTGGAAGACAGTACTCACTGCTGCCACTGCATTCAAACAGGGCACAGAACATTTCTTATCAGAGGACAGAAAAATATAATGTGTCTGAGTTATTTCAAAATAAACAAAATGAAATTGTAGCCTATAGTTTGTGCAATTACATTTATTTAAATTGAACGTTTAAGTTCATATTGATCATGTTCTATTCTGTATCTAATGTTTATTATAAATCATACACTGTCAGAATAAAAAGGTTGCATTTTATGGGTGCAACTAGCAGTCCCTTATGAAAATGAACCATGGTTTTACTATTCAGTGACCTTAGTTCATCTCTAGTATTTGTAGATTTCCATGGTTACCACTACAGTAACCATATTTTAACTACGTGTAAACAAAAATATAATCTAACAAGCTGCAATTGAGGTGTATCGAATGTTAAACGCCTTTCAAATATAATGTTAAATGGGTATCATTAATAATAATAATTTTAATCATTTTTATTTTTAATTTTTATTCTTAATAATTTAATACATTTAATAATTTAAAATGTAAGTTTAGGGGAATCGGTATCAGTATCGACGATACTGGCCTTTGAAAGTATCGGTATCATATCGAAAAAAAAAAAGTGAATTGAACGTTTAAGTTCATATTGATCATGTTCTATTCTGTATCTAATGTTTATTATAAATCATACACTGTCAGAATAAAAAGGTTGCATTTTATGGGTGCAACTAGCAGTCCCTTATGAAAATGAACCATGGTTTTACTATTCAGTGACCTTAGTTCATCTCTAGTATTTGTAGATTTCCATGGTTACCACTACAGTAACCATATTTTAACTTAGATTATAATCTATTTAACGTTAGATTATACTTAATATAATCTAACAAACTGCAATTGAGGTGTATCGAATGTTAAACGCCTTTCAAATATAATGTTAAATGGGTATCATTAATAA